AAAGCTGCATTGAGAGCTTTGATAGATCTGACAAATGCACTCCTGTGAGAGGATGAAAACAGAAATGAAACTTCTGAAAATTCCTTTCAGTAGCAGATTATCAGTAGACTGGGGAACTGATTGAACTGGTGGTAAAGGGAAATACCTTAAGAACACAGAAACAGGATTTCAGGAGAAGTGGTTAATGCTACTTTTACTGGTAGAAAATTCCTTCCCTACATGAAGTTGTGGTTTGTGTTGGTCCTTGTAATAAGTAAAATGAGTTTATGGTGAATCCCAGAATCATTAAGGTTGGAAAAGACCTCTGAGATCATAAAATCCAATTTATGACTGATCTTGAGAACTAAACCAGAGTACTGAGCACCACGTCCAATTGTTTCTTGAACCTTTCCAGGGGTGGGGACTCCCCCACCTCCCTGGGCAGCCCATTCCAATGCTTGACCACCTTTTCTATAAAAAAATTCTTCCTGGTGTCCTGTTAATCTCTGCAGCCATGCTTAAGGCTTTCAAAGGCACAGCTTAGGCTTTACATCCATGTCTGGAAGCCTACCAGGGAATAATCAGTTTGTCTTAAAGTTGTGATATGTGCTTCTTGCTCCACTGTAGGAGCTTTGTAGTAAATGCAGCAAGGATTAAACATTTAAATATGGGAGAATTACAAAAGTTTGGGATACAGTTATGTCACAGTGCTTTGAGATGGTTATTACAGGTTTTTGTAACTTCTTCCATGTGGGCCATGGGAATACTGGTTCAAAACAGAGACTGAGGACTAGTCCTGGTTGTTGGAGCAGCTTTTGGGGGAATTGGGATGCTGAAGTGTGGTGGTTTCTTTGGTTGTGAAATGCCCATGGCAGGGCAGTGGCCAGTAACTGCTAGAAGTGGGTGAAGGAACAGAAACTTCATAAATAGCCAGGCAAGTTCAATTTCTTTCCGAAATTGTTTTCCTAAGTGAGTAATTTTTAGGACTCAACTTTGAGAGCAGCCACCCAGCAGGTCCCAGGTCTCAGGCATGGAAGAGCTGACTTGAATCTTCTTATTATGGAAAGGAAAGGCCTTGTTGTGTTTAACTGGTCAGTGGTGCAGACCTGCTGCTGGGTGATTATCAAAGAATGCATCTGGTAGGCAAAGACATGTCAGCAGTAAAGGAAAACAACCTTGAAACTCGCCTGCAGTGAGCCTGCAGTTTCATAATTACTTGGGGTCAAGCTAATTGCAGGCTGGTTCCAAAAGGGGAATTCCACAGCCCCCTCACTCCAGCTGGGCTTTCCCAGCTCCCTGCTGTAATGGTGCCAGTCCTAGCTGACCCTGGACAGGGAGCTGGTTCAGGGCAGAAGGTAGGGAGGGAAGGATGAGATGTTTTCAGCAGGCTCCCTCTGCTCTGGTGAGTCCCATGCAGCCACACCACCCTGGGTGACAGAGGCAGGATGAGCAGGGAGTCCAACAGCAGTACCTGAGTTAAGAGGACATAAATTCACTCCAAGGTGATTGTTGTCACACTGGATAGTGGATTGACCCTCCTAGTTTTAGATTTTTTATTTCTATACTGCCTGAAAGAAAGCCTTTAATGTTTGTTTTCTGGGGACTGTTTCTAATGACTCCCACACTTGGGAGCATAAGACTTTCTTGTCTCCTCTCTTCCCACTGCCTCCCTCCCACCCCCAGTAAATTTGTTGAAATGGGTCAAAGTAGAAACCCTGGAGAGAGTTCTTTAGTTATCTCTGAACTGTGCCTGCCCTAAATCGATGGGACTTTGGGGCAGGGGGAGGGATAATGGTCTTGCTTGTTCTCTCAAGATGTGCTCCAAGCAGTGGCTCCCTTTCTGCAGGTGGCTCTTCTGGGCCACAAAGTTCATTAGCCGGTGTTGAATCAGTGGAACTGAAGCTTCCAGGCTTTGAATCCTTTCCACAGCCAGGTCACTGCTGCAGCACCTTTGAGCCCTGGTTTTTGTTTGCTTTTCATTGGAGCCCTTTTGATTTCAAAGGGAAGGATGAAGGATGATACTGAGACATGGGCTCCTATTTTTGACTCTCTGTGCAGAATTATGTCTCCTTTTACTTGTTACCTACTTAAGAGAGTGATTGCAAGGCTTGGGGAAGTGTTTATGTCTGAGTGTTACAATGTACTCAGGTTTGAAATATTGATGTTACTACTATTTGCTCCTTAAAATGAGCTTGCTTGCAGAAATAATGCATTGGCCACATTAAATTTTTTTTAAGATTGGGCTATCTCATAAGATTAAATCACAAAAGTATGAAAAATCTGCCATTAGTCCTTGTGGGTTGTAATGCTGTATGTATTATTAGGTCTAAATAAATGAAACTTGCATTGTACACTGCTCAGATCAAGTGAGGAAGAAAAGATTGCAATTTTCCAAATAGTTTTGATTTGGGTCTTATTAACTATGACATGGCTTGAAGATTTAATACCTTATTTGTATCAGATCATGGGGTTAGATACCTGCTGCTCCTCACTGGAATTGCATCTCACGCTCTCAGCTGCTCGTCAGTGCAAGGTCTGCAGCTGCAGCCCCCAGAGTCAGACAGCTCAGTGCCGTGCTGTGCTGGCACTTCTGGCAACTCGTCTGTGCCTGATATGTCACGGGAGGAAATGTTTTGTGGGCAGGAATGATCAGACCTGTCCCAGAAGGAATTCAGAAAGTAATGGGAAGGAGCCTGGTGTAAGTGTGCCGTGGCACCAGTATCAATCAGGCAGTGAGCTGAGAAAGTCTTTTGTCATTTGCTGCCTGACTCTTCATGGCAGCACAAAATATGGAATTTATTTCTTTTTTAATCAGTTCTTTTTCTTTCTTGTCTCTAAACTTGGAAGCACAGGTCTTTAAAAGTCTTGCTTTTCCATTGGTCAGGTTCCTTGCTAGGGATTGATGTTGGAAACCAAAGCACTTGGTTCTTTGCTCCACTAAAATTCCCTCTTACTTCATGATTTGTGTTTTCTTTCCTTGGCTCTAAATGTGTGCTTCCTTTTTAAATATAGTTTTCCAAGTTTCTGGCCGTACCAGATTGTTTATATTTTTTAAAAGCCTTCTGCTTAGCCGTTATATTGCTCTTTATAGTTCTGCTTAACCACATTGGTTTCTGTTGCTCTTTTTTCTTGCATAAACTTAGCTGGGATGAATTTCAAATGTGGTTTATCCAACTGTTAAGTATTTCCCACTTTTCTGCAATAGATTTCACATATGTTACAGAATTCCAAACCAAGATCTGGTGGACATATTGCCCTGTTTCTTTACCCAAAGTCAGATATAGAAGGATTTTTAAGCATTTCAGGGACAATATTTAGGTCACTGGTTCCAGCATGCTGCTTGGCTTCAAATGCATTTGTCATGTTGTGCTGGTTTCCAAGGATTAGAATAATTATGATCCATATATTTATTTTTAAAAATCTTAATTTTGTGCTAATAAACCTAAAGGGGAAAAAAAAAATATTGGTCCTCTTGAGTTGGGAACTCAAAAGGTTTTTTATTTTCCATCCAGAGGTCAAACTGTGGAGTTCCATAAGAGACATGTCCATCCATCCAGGATTTACCCATTCAAAACTGTATCTAAAATTAGGAATTAGGCTTTTTCAGAGTATTTAGACAGTAGTACCTGTATCTAGTAACAAGTCAGCAACTTGACCACCTATTTGGGGTCTGGTATTAGACCTGACAGGAGGTCCCAGGCTTGTGCTTTTGGTCCCTTACAGGTGGTTGAATTATGAACAAATTCCAGAAGCGTGGCAAATTTCTGGTAGAAAATTGGAGAATATTGGGAGTTTTGCAGGCAGGTTGGAGGCACCTTGGCAGAGGGATGAGTTGAAGATAGTCTTGCTCTAGCGTGTTGTTCTCACTTTTCATGAACTCTTCTCATAGCCAGGTTTTTATCTTTTTTGAAATATTAAGAGGATAAAACAGTGTCAAATTTCTTTTATTGAATTCTTGATTCTCCCAGTGAGTTGGGGAACGATGTCTGTAGCTGAATGGAGAGATTTGCCTTTATTTTTTCATATTATGTGGAAATACTGCAGAAGAGGCACAGAGTGACACAGAAGATTGAGTATCGTTGGTTTATGCACTGATAAGTGACCCGTTCAATCTATTATGGTGACATTTGGAGGCACAGCACTGAGTGGAGGAATTGGGATGGGGATAAAACACTTGGAAAAAGCTGGAAAACAGTGGGAGCTGTGCCTCAGCTCAGTAGAAACTGTTGGAAGATACTCTGGCATTCATCAGGTGCTTAAAAAAAGATATGTTTTGGAGAATAAATGGACATGCCTGCTAATAACCTTGGAGGAATATATTCCAAAAAGATAATTTTGTATTCAAATAAGGCAAGACCTAAATAGAAAAGGGCACTGCAGTGGCAGTATGGAATTATATACAGCATGTCATAGGAGATTAAGAGTGATAGAGGTGTAACCAGTCCAGATTCAAGTACAAGGTTAACCAATATTTGAATTAATAAATTTTTCTAATAGGATAACTCAAAACAGGGAAAGCCAGTGTCTTTAAAAAGTAGGCAGGTGAAAATAAACCTGGTTTGAATACATCCAAGATCTGTAATCTTCACTGGACTTGGGAATTTATTAGGAGGTGTGTATTGTGTGCCATTGCTCCTGTCCTGTGTCATGCTGGGGTGGAGCCATGAATAGTTTTGAGAAAAATGGTGACGTTTTGGTTGCAGGATGGAATCCAAAAGGCTGTAGCCCTTCATTTGCTGTTATTCAGGAGGTCAGATCTCTGGAAGCTTGGTGCTTGTTCTGTGCTGCTCCCTAGCCCTTCCATCTCCATATTTCCAATAACATGATGTATGAATGAGGGGTTTTGGGATTTTTTTATTTCTGTGATGAGCAGAGCTCTGACTGAATTTTTTTTTTCTTTTTCCTTTTTTTAAAAAATCTTTCTGGGTTTTTTTGTTTGTTTGGTTGGTTGGTTTTTGGTGGATTTTTTGGTGGTTTTTTTGTTTGTTTATTTTGTTTATTTTGTTTATGTTTCTTAACAGAGGGAGCTCGATACCACAGCAACAATATTGGCGAACCGGCAAGATGAAAGTGAGCAGTCCAGGAAAAAACTTATTGAGCAAAGTCGTGAGTTTAAGAAAAACACTCCAGAGGTAAGGAGAAAAGCTATCCCAGTCTGTTACTGTAGTAGGTGGCCTTAGGCACGTGGAAGTAATGATTTCTTCTTAATGGTGTATTTCTATAATTTTCTTGTATGTATTGCCAGGTCATTATCTATACCTGCTTATCTCTGATGTTTTTCTCATCAGGGAGCTTTTGCATTCTGTAAACACTGAAATGTGGATTGATGTTTTTAGAGGAAGCACTGACACTGGCCTTCAAACAGGCTTGCTCTAAATTATATAATAATGTAAAACCTGGAGAATTGCAAAAAAAAATTCTTCACCAATCCAAACCCTCGGAGCACTTGGATGAAGAAAGTGACATTTCGCTGCCTAAATAAATCTATATCAAGGGCATAACTTCAAAGATGCTCATTTTTCCATCAAAAATCAAATTAAGTTCTGCTGTTGATTTCACTGGAAACACAACAAGGTCAGGGCTGAGCCAAGCTCCCCTGGGAGGATGTGCATGGAGCACAGGTGTGGGGTAAAACTTGCAGGGGTAAAACCAGGGGGGAAACTGGGGAAGGTGAATATGATGTGTGAGAAGCTGGGAGTGTTTAAACTCCTCATGTGCAGTCACCTCAAACCCAGAGATAATCTCACTTGGTTCCCTGCTGAAAGCAGAGCAATGCTCAGGGCTGGCTGGCTCCTCTGTTTGTTTTGTGGATTTGGTTATTTTTTTCCCTGCTGATTGCCAGCAATCTGTTCATCCAGGAATGTTGTGGCATTTCAAAGCCAGTTCCAGATAACTGATATGCCAGCACCAGCTCCTTCCAAGGCTCTTCCTGGGAGGGGAGCAGCAGGCAGCTCTCCTAACCCTCAGAGCTGCTTCTCCAGCAGCAGATGCTGCTCTGCATCCTGGGGATGCTGACCCAGACAAGGGGGAGCAGGAGGGACTCCTGGGGAAAAGGCAGTGTTGTTTATCTGCTGCCCTGAGGAGGCTTTGTGGGGCAGAAATCAGTTCTCTTGGAAGAAGAGAGAATTTGGGGAGTGCAGCTTGGAAGGAGCAGGACTTTTTAAAAGGAGTAAAAGAATTTGAAGAGTGAGTTCAGGAGCTGTGAGAGGGTGAGTTGATTCCCTTTTCAAACTATTGGGAAGAGAAGGAGGAAGGACAGAAGTGAAAGTATATGGAGAATATAGGAAATTGTACAGAATCTAGAAAATACATGGAATTCTGGGGCCACATTTTCAATTGTTTGCTAGAAGCTTAAGTTCATACTACAAAACCTAACTTGTTTCCTGCTGCCTTCCTTTTTTTCCTATAAGTAAAAAGACAAATTCTTCACTGCAGCTGCCAGTTGCCATCTGATGGAATGTTACAGGTTTCAGGAGGATTTCTCTAAGCCAGTTTTATTTCTGTGGAGCACAAGGCAAGCGACAGACAAAAACCCCCAAGACCCTACACTTTTAAAGTGCATTGTGAGAGCACCTTTGGTAACTCAGTGGCAGAGGAATGTAGAGGCAAACAGATCCTATTGTAATTACTTTGAGATATAGTGGGAAATGATATGCAATTAGTCCTTTCCAGTAAGGAGGACACAGAAGGTAAATCATTGGATGGGAATGTTTTAAATACTATTTTACAAAATACAATTTTGTAGCCTCTATTCTCTGCCAGAATACATGAGTTTTAGTTATTCAGAAACAACACTCTGAACATCCCCAGTGTCTGAGGAAATTGGGATCTCTGCTAAGTTCTACATCCTCATCTTTTGTTCTGGGACCCCTATGAAACCACATTATGAAACCAAAATATTCCTGTAGAACCTTGCATTAATTTTTTAAGTTCTTTCTTTGTCTGCCTTCTCTGCCATGGTGCTCCTCTGCAGCTTTGTTTCTGAAGAGCAACTTCTGCTTCCTCTGAGTAAGAATGAAAATGGGATCAAAGAATTAGAAGGAAGTATCTGAACTGTAGGAATAGGCAGCTGTAGCCAACCTGAGATGTAGTTTTTGTCCCAGGGGTGTGCAGGGAGCTCAGGTGTGGAAGGTCTGTCGGGTCCAAGGGATTTGCTCTGGTAGGTGGGGGTGTCCAGCTGGAAAAGTGCGCTGGATTTCCTCCTCACACAAAACTTACAGCTTGTGCAGTGTGTGTTCACCTTCAGTTGTTTTTTTGCACTCCCAAAAAGCAGGGAGGTCTGTGAATATTTCTCAAAACTTCAGCAGTTTTGGGAGGCAGCTGGAAATCAGGAGGAGGGATCAGTAGCCGCAGCTTTGTCTGGAAACCTCCCCAGGATGGGAAACATCCTTGAGGTGGACAGGGAATGCACAGGGGGACACTGGCATCTCCAAACTGATACATTTAAGTTCCTAAAACATCCAATGTGCTCTTCTTCATAACAAAAGAGTTCCGTGGGAGAAAACCAGCCTGGATGCAGAATGTTCTTCAGACAGATAAATAACCCAGTGTACAGCTCAATTTCAATTTCCACGATGAAGTAACAACTTTCTTGGCATTAAAAGAAGAAACAAAGCCACAAAGATGGAATTGTTAAATGTAACAATCTGTTTCAGAATTGTACTTTCCATTTTGTGTTTCATGCTGCCTGCATCCCTGTCAGTGCAGCCCTGGCTTAGGCTGTGCCAGCATCTCTTTTCCTCTGTCCTTGCCAGTCCCACCACAAATCAGGAGACAAGTGTGGATTGCCTTGACTTTCCTATTCATTGCTGCCTCCAGACTTTCCATAATATCCCCTTGAAAGTTATCTCCTGTGCAGCAGAAAAGGATTCCAAAAATTCCTAATGAGGTTGAGGATACTTCTGTTTCTTTTTTACTTTAAAAGTTGTGACAGATCTTTTTGGGTCATTTCTGCCTTCTTTGCAAATTATCAAATTGCTGCAAAAGCAATACAATGTTTTCATGTTTGGAGGAATGTCCCTAGGGCTTTTGGTATTTAAAAATGTTAAAATACTATTTCTGTCTTGGCATACTGGGAGATGACTCTGGGAAGAAGGATCTCATGTTTGGGAACTTTACGTGAACAGAAAATTCAGCAGTGGTTGCGCAGAAACTTTCAGAAAGGGTTCTTTACCTGTTATTGCAAAAAATACTCTTTGCCTACTCACACCTTTTAGGAGGTCATGTCAGACCTGCTGCTCATAGATGTTTTGGAGTATTTTCAGTCCCAATTTGTTTCCCCCTGAGCAGCTACTGTGGAAGGCTGAGACTGGTCAGGAGATTACTTGAAACATCAATTTTACATGACTGTTACTTGGAAGACATCTCAAAATATATCATGTGAATTGCCAGCCTGCATCAGATGATTATTTTCTTACAGTGACAAATCCTGAACTGTTGCAACCAACTGTGGTATTTCTGGGGTATTTTAGCCTCTGTGAAATTCTTGTTTTACTTAATCCTGTCCTCATATGTCAATTCTGGCGTGAATAACAGAATGTTTGAATTACCATCTTTGAGAATTGGGGTTTTTTGGTCTCTAAATAATTCCAGGTGCACAGGTTAATATTTTTTGGCATGAAGTGTAGATAGTTCCTAATGTTGATAACCTTGCTTTTGTTTTTGCCCAGATTCTTAGCTCAGTAACCACTTTTTGCTTACCTATTTCTGTTTAAACATTGACTAGCTTATCTAATACTTTCACTTTTAAGCCTGTTTAACCTGTAATTCTTCATTGCTTTTCTCTAGGATTTGGCCAGGTAAGCCAGGTAATATTGAGCTGGGGGTTATTACCAGGCTCACCTGAGCCAGGGGTCATTAAACTGGGCACAAGACAAAAGCCCAGCCTGGGGGACCTGGGTCAGCAGCTCTTGGGAAATGAAATAAGCAACTAATTTTGTAATGGGAGATCATGATCTCTACAAAATGAGGCAGAAGTGACATGCCTGCAGAAAGGCCAGAATTAGAGACAGGAGTTTTGCCCTGTTGCTGTGGGCCCTGGTTTTTATCCTGATGTAAAATAGTAAATTGGATGGGTGATTCCTCGCTGGTTTTGCCCTTTGCAGTTTCTGGATTGTAAATGAATTCAGCTGGTGAGGTTGAGAAAGTCAAGATTACCCTAAAATGCCCAAATTCCCACCTGAATCCTGTAAAGCAGATGAAAGGTTCAGTGGGCAGTTATGGAGAGATGTGGGAGAACCTCTACTCACAGAAACATTAATTCTCAAATAAAGATGCTCTGGAAAATGGAATATGGGAAAGTTCTAGAAAACAAAATAATACCTGAACACTGACTGGGGTGGAGGGGGCAACTTGCTGACCTGAGCCCTTGGTTCATCTCAAATAAATGACATTTACCTGCCTACATCAAAGCTGTTTTCCATCAGTGTCACCCAAACCACCCCCGTCCTGCTCCATCACAGTTCTGCAGTGCCCCAAAGAGAAAGAAAGATGCCTGCAAAATCTTCTGTTACACAAATAATGTTACACAAATAATTTATTCATCATGTTGTGTGTCAGGGTGATGCATATCTTTAAGATCTACAAGCTTTAAAAAAAAATATCCTGATAATTGTAAGTCATAAGGAAGTAAAGGAAATTAAGACAGTTATTATGGAAGGGCTCAGTTTTTCAAAGTGCAAAGTTCTTAAATTCTTTATCCCCAGTGTTTCTGGAGTATTCTTTTGAAATAGCCAGTCTCTACAGCAAAAGCTAATATAATTAAGGGTAAAAAAAATTAAATAATTCTGCTGCTTGAATTAGTTATTGAAATGAGAGCAGGATCTTCAAAATTGTGGGTAATGTTGATTCCCAGAGACTTTGCACAGTCAACTTTGGTCTAGTCTGTGTGACAAAGTGGAAATGATAACAAAATCTACTGAAAACACACAGTCTGTCTGAAGATAATTGATGTTCTCAGTGTCTGTGTACAGAGGGGTGAATATTGATTTGCTGCCATCTACAGCTGGGTTGTTCCACTCCTTTTATTGTTTTCTTTTCTCCTTCCCCCCCTCCTTTTTCCTTTTCCCACTTTCCTCCTCTTTTTCCTCTCTTTTTTCCTTTTTATTCTTTTTTTTCCCTTTCCCTCCCAGTT